AAACAGGAAAAGTCGGTCGGGATCTATAATTTCCTCACTAACAGAACACAGAGAGTAGTCGTAACGGAAAGCCGAGGAGTCGGTGAAAAGCTCTGTACCAAAGCACGTACTAGCTCCCATTTGTTTTCACTCATATCCGACTAGACAAAGGTGTCAGCCCCAGCACCGTGTCTTCCTTTTAGATGACACCCCAATTGATGACAGTGTCTTCCCTTGCAGACACTGCAAGGCTCCAGGCGGACATCAACCCAAAACTTTCAGTGGGGGTGCAGAAAAACAATATGAAGTTCAACGATGGAAATTTCAATTACTCAGATATGGAAACATGAGGAAATTAAACTTCATCAGAGTACAAAACAAATTTGGGCCCCAAATAGAGCGAAACACCAAAAGTCAATGACCTGGGGGGTATTATGTCGGGGATCTCCCTTCAAGGACCCTAAATTGTATCAAAGCATTTCTAGAAAAAATGACAGGATGGGTAATGAGAACCTTCAAAAATAGGGGGGCCCAAACCCCTGTGCATCTTAGGTCATTGTTCTACTAGGCTGGAAAATTGTGCACTCTAACAGACTTTTAAAGGAGGTGAAAATTGCCGACCCAGAAAATGTACAGAGAATTTAGGCGCGCATAAAAGGGATAAAAACACCTCAAATTTCTGGGAGCGCTTGAGGTTTCTAAACCCGTATTCCCTGGAAAAGCGGGGGGAGAGATACATGATTATATCACCTGGAAAATCCCAGAGGGACTATACCCAATTGCACAGAAAATCACTCACTACGAAAAACAAAAGACTGGCGCGTGCACCATCCCCCAATGAAAAGCAGGGGGGTCACTAGCACGTTAAGAGACCCTTAATAAGTGTCAGGGGCCCCCAGACTGTTCAACTGCCCCCGAACATAAGGGGGATTACCACGACCCCTGGGGAGTCTTCAAGCTGGCCTGGAAAGCACCTAAAAACCGTCCCTGATCAGCCGGGGGGTGTGGGCTGCGTTTGGGTTTTCGTGCAGCCCGCAGCAACAGCCCGGTTGATCAGGGGCTGATCCCCCCGGAGGCCTGGTCAAGACCGGGGCCCCGGGGGGGGTTGACCCCCCAAATCTCCAGGTAAATCCGGGGAATGAGCAAATTTACATTCCCCACCCCGGGCACAAATGTAGTGGTTATTGGTGCAAAAAATTTATTGTTAGACACACACACACACCCCACCAAATATAAAAATTCACACACACACACCACACCAAAACCCCACACACACACAACACACACAAAAACACACCCCCAAACCACACACAACACACCACACAACACATTAAACACACACATGCAGATGACGTTTAAGTTGATGAAAGAGTTCATTCGATCGAAAAAACCAGGCAGAATCAAAGGGATCTGGCAGGCTGAGACCTGGTCCAGCAATTTGGGTCCCGGGTTCAAACCCCCCAAGTGCAAAGTCTGGGATTGGGGGAAGGGCAAAGACGCCGCGACGGAGTACAGTTAGGGGGCCGAGAAAAAACATCATCAAGGAAAAATTCTTGGGGTGGTTAACACCGGCACATTCCTGAAGCGCACTCAACCAATAACTCCGCGCATATGGGGCCTGGCAAACCCCAGAACAGCATTCCGACTTTAAAAAGGAATCGTTCAGGGGGCCCTGTAACCCTGTAGTTTGGCCCCAAATTTGGGGTATGCGGCACCAGTTTGGGGAAACCCCACCTAGCCAAACTGTAAAGAAAAATAGAGAAAGTGCAAAAAATTTTCAACAAGATAGTCCCCGAGTTAAGAGGTTTGTCTATGAGAGAGGTTAAAGGGGAAAAACAATCTGCGACCCCCTGGAGGACGGAAGATAGGGGGGGCTGATAACGATTACAAAATATGAGAGGAATTGACAAAGGGGGACAAGACAGGTGTTCCAGAGACTGGCCAGCAACACGGGGGGGCAAGTGGAAGGAAGACATGATGGGAAACAAAAGGGGGTTTAGGAAGTATTTCTTTAGCCACAGAGTAGCCAGGAAGTGGAATAGTTTGGGAAGCGATGTAGTGGAGGCAGGATCCATACATAGCTTTAAGCAGAGGTACGATAAAGCTCATGGTTCAGGGAGAGTGACCTAGTAGCGACCAGTGAAGAGGCGGGGCCAGGAGCTTGGACTGACCCCTGCAACCTCAACTAGGTGAGTACAACTAGGTGAGTACACACACGTGGTAATGCATTATTTACAGGTAGCACAGTCAGGGTATTTCTCCAAAATGGTCTGTAATATACCACTGTGGATAAAATACTTTGCCATTTCTTGAACATTTCTGAGTGAGTTATCTCCAAATTCATTAATTTGATCACACTCCAGTACATAATGACGCAAGGTGTGACAATAGTCCATCTGGCAAAGTTTACATTTCGTTTGGTCTACATCTGGTGGTGGTGATTTAACCTGCCAAAGATACTTGTAACCCAGCCGGAGCCGGGCGGTAGTGACATCCAAGAGTCTGCTTATTTTGTTGGATGCACCATAGACATGTGGCTCCTCCTGCATGATGGAATGATGATAGATGGACTCACTGGTGTCAGTCTCCCTAAGTCTTAGGTCAATAAAGTTTAATTGAAGTTCTTTTTGTATAATTGTTCTCAAACTGCTAACTGACAACCCAAGATTGTAATCTACTCCCTCTTTGAAAGCATACAGCTTAGCCAATTCATTAGTTCTATCATGCATCTGAAGACCAATGTGAGATGGAATCCACAGCATGTGCCCTCTGACTCTACTGTCCACATCTTACCATACCTGTGTCTGGCTTCTGACACAAGCATGCCACAGTTTATACTTAATGAGTTGAGAGCATTTATGGATGACAAAGAATCATTTGCATTTGAGTGCAAGGAGTATGGCAAACAGTTCTGTTTGAAGGGTAGAGGCCCAGTTATTGATGCGTGCTCCAATTTCTTTATGAGAGCCATCACTCTGTATGACAATAGCAGCACTACCAGCTGCACCAGTGTATGACAACAGCAGCACTACCAGCTGCACCAGTGTATGACAACAGCAGCACTACCAGCTGCACCAGTGTATGACAACAGCAGCACTACCAGCTGCACCAGTGGACTGGTGAACAGAACCATCAACGTAAATACTTTGTGAATGAGTGTTCTGTGTGACTAAATTATCAATACAGCTTAAGGCATTATGTTTGGCTTCAACACGAAGCTTTGGTTGTGATTTAAGAAGAGTTTTGGGGGGAAATGGAGTAATGGTAGTTTGGAATGGGGTAATATCCCATGGAGCAGAGAAGTGCCTCTGTTCCCTAACTTAACATAGATCATGTAGCTGGTTCATGCGGAGGTCGGTTCCAGTTTTTTCGATCCATCTGGAAGGATGTTCACCAGTGCAACATTAAAACGTTTCTTTTGAATATCCCACGGTACATGATAATATACACTTGGAAAATCCTTGAAGAACTGGTCCCAAATCTGCACACAAAGATCACTCCCTATGAAAGCAAAAGACTCGGAAGGCGATGCAACATTCCCCCAATGGAAAACAGGGGTACCATACGTACGCTAATAGAACACACAAGTGTCAGGGGCCCAAGACAGTTCAACTACCTCCCAGCATACATAAGGGGGACTACTAAAAGACCCCTGGCTGTCTTCACGAAGACGCTGGACGGACACCTAAAGTCAGTACCTGACATGCCGGGTTGTGGTTCGCTTGCGAATCACAGTCTAGCAGTAACAATCAGGTTGATCAGGCCTTGACTCACCACGATGTCTGGTCAGAGACGGGCCACGGGGGTGTTGACCCCCGGAACACCCTCCAGGTATACTCCAGGTATCCTTGTCTAACACTTTAATTATTTTATCCCACCGTGGGATAAAATTTCCCACGATCATTTTCTTCCAATTCCAGTACTTAACATTTATTTACATTAAATTTCACCATCCATTTTTCAGTACATTTTTAAACCATTTCAGATATTTTGTTGGCATTTAAAGTTATTTTCATTTCTTATTTTGCATAGAATCTGTGCATTGTTAGCAAACATACTCGTCAAGTTTTACATTCCCTCTGACAAATCATATAAACTAGAAACATTACTGGAGCAAGCACTGATCTTTGCCTTCTAATTAACTAGTAAATTTGTCATCTGCTATAACCTTTGCCTTTTACTCCTTCTGTTTTCTAATCTCCATATTAGTCTTTTACAAAAACCTCAAAATCTAAGTTAATGTTGTCTGCTTATTCATTTTTCTTGAATTATTAGTGTATTTGTATCGTAGTAGCTTAAAGATTAAAGATTCTGTATTTCAGTATGATATAATGTTTGTACAGAGATATGTGGTATTTAGGTGTGCAGGCATAAAGCCGTTAGTATGCAGGAATCTGTTGATTGCGAATATAATTATGTGTTTTATCTAGCTGGTTCTCTCCCTCTCCTGGCCATCCTTAATGGCCCCTCCTTTATGGCCCTCTTTCTCGCCTGTCTCTCATTTATGGCCCTCTCCCTCTTCTGGCTTTCTTCTGTGGCCCTTGCTTGAGCCTCATCCATGGCTCTTCTCCTAGCTGGTCTTCCTTTAAGGCCCTTCGTGCCTTGCCCTTCTCTATGGTCCTCTTCACCGTGGCCCTTCCCAGCCTGGCCCTCCTCGCCTGGCCCTCCTCTATGGCCCTCAGTCTGGCTTTTCTCTATGGCCCTCTCACCTGTACGCTACAATCTGCCACTAACTGCCACCCACCTACGTCTGCCTATAATGCGGGTTTTCCTTATTTTAAACACGTTAGCACTTTTCATAAAGTCTCTGTATATTGCAGTCAAAATTTGTGATAGAAAAAGTCTGTTTCTCAAAACTTGAAGGTATTCAGTATTACATGAGGAGTATAATACGAGGCAGGAGATGTGTTGTGGGTGGTACATGGCATCGTGAGCGGGAATAGAGGGGAGAGAGAGGGATAGAGGGAGGAGGAGAGGGGAGAGGGAAGGCTAGAGGGAGGAGGAGAGGGAAGTTCAGATGGGTGAGAGGCGCCGCGCAGTGCAGAGAGACGCTCTACACTTAACCCACGTTTTGCCTCCTCGTGTGTCCACTCAGGAGGACTTTTCCGTGACAGTATGAATGATAATATAGTGAAGTGTACTGGGTACATCTTTAGGCGTAACCTGGACTGCTGTCATAGTCTGATACCAAACTTATAACTGTGCGACAAAGTACCTGAAATATCATCCTGAGAGTTTAACAGTGCTCACTCTGACAATACATCAAAGCTTACACAGCATTATCTATAATTATTATAGATTTACCACCGATTTGTCAATGGAGTAAAAATAAAAACTTTCCGTTAAGAATGTCGACCTTTTCTTTTTGCAATAGTCAGTGTGGGGGACACAGTGTGTTTAGTGTGAGAGGGAAGTTAGTATATTTTGGTGCGTCTAAATTTATTTTTATACTTGTAATTATTTATATATAAGCACAGGAGTACACCTAAGCTCTTGGTATCAAGTTCTCAGTATTTTTCTATGTCTAGCATTTTTTATTTTTTTTCAAGTACGTACAGCAATTCGCCGTTGCATACTCAAATTTTGGTGAAACAAATTGTGAACAACATTCTCCCACGTCCTTGTCCAGTAGTTTGAGGACAATACGAAAAAAACTTTAGTTGAACTTGATAGAGAAATACACCAGTCAGTCCATCTGCCATCATTCTATCACACAGGAGGAGCCACATGTCTATGGTGAATCTAAGTACCTCAGGAGACTTTTGGATGTCACTACTGCCTGGCACCGGATGTTACAGTTGCCTCTGGCAGGTTGCACCACCACCTGATGTAGACATAATTAAATATAAACTTTGACAGATGGACAATTGTCACACCTTGCGTCATTATGTGCTGGAATACAATAAGATTAATGAATTCAGAGACAACTTACAAATATTCAAGAAATGTCAAAGTATTTTATCCACAGTGGTATATTACCAGCTATTATAGAAAAATACATTGACTTTGCCCACTGTAAATAATTTATAGTCTTTTAAACTTGCTTAAATTCAACCATATCTTTCTTAAATACAAGGTAATATAAATTATTCAAAAACCATATTTTTGTGACTGAATTCATGTTTGCATAAATAATTCCTTCCGACTAACCAGAAAAAAACATATAAATAATTAATTATTACTTATATAGCTATCAAAACATTGGGACCAAGTTTCTGGACCCATTGTGTACCTCTGTAACATTTTGATTACCACTCACACCATGGGTATGGGGGGGGGGGCGTAATAAAGATATTAAATTAACTCCCTATCCATATAGATCTGACAAGCTATTTTTCAGTCAGCCAGAGATTTCATAAGATTTTTATTGATATAATCCTCCCGCGATAGTCTTTTGTGTCTGATAAAGTTTCTGACAGTATCATATATAACCTATTCTTTGTCTGGCTAGTTTTCATTTTCTCAATTATTATTGCATTGCAATTATACACATTAATTTCCACTTCTTTAATTGATTTAGGTCATCCTGCTGCTAGACTTCCCAAGTAGTTTTTATTAAACTTGCTAAGGATCTTTGCAGCATCTGCAACATAGCCGTAAAGTTTAATTTCTTCTAGCTAGTAATTTATATAAATTTACAGCATTATTGGGACCAGCAATGATATTCCTGACACACTTTTGGTCACAGTACGAGTCAGGACATCTTTCATCTTTTTTTCAATTTTCTTTCAACTGGAAAAATCTTTCAGCTATTGTAATAGTTTTAAATTTTTTAGATTAGTTTTTCATGACGGACTCTATCAAAATATTTCCTATAATCAAAACAAAGGCAAGCCATCAATTCCTCTTTTGAATAATTTTTTTGTCTGTTACAACAGCTTAATAGAACTGATAAATAAGATTTCTTTCTGGTTAAAAACATATTTTTTTGTGTGCTAGTTTGCAGTGTTTTGTTTTTCAAGCGTTTATCTACCTTTTGTAGATTTTCTCAACAACGATTATCAAGGAGAAACAACTATCGATCAAAGTGCCTTCCTAGTCCTCTTTTTATTTTAAATATCATTATTATGTGCTGGTTTCTTCACTTTCCTCAAGTTCACATTCTTGCAGTGAAATCTCAAAGATTTTTCCAGAGGATATATTAGTTTATTTAGAGATTCTTCAAAGATCTCAGCTAACATTGTCTTGTTACTGTTTTGTTGTCAGTCAATTGTAACTTTAACTTCTCTTAAAATATTTCACTTTTGGATTTTATTTGGCTTTTTGAGACTTAAATCCTCAACAAATCTGGTGTCCTCGTTGCTAAATATACTCGAAACAACACATTAATCACCATTATTATTATTATTATTATTATTATTATTATTATTATTATTATTATTATTATTATTATTATTATTATTATTATTATTATTATCTCCATTTCGGTGAATTTTTGTTGTTCTTAATTTACTTTATTTTCTCTATTTCATTTGTATAAATTTTACAACCATGAATAAAATATTTGATTTTATGTTGCTCGTGTCAACTATTTTTTTAGGCTTTTTATGATGGGTTTTTATATAGAATATTCTTGTCCATTACACAGTCTCTCGTGTACTTTATGTTTTCTCTCTTCTATACTTTGTTTTATTCTATATTATATGTATTTACAACTTTTATTTTTTTACTCTGTTTTAGAATTTTGACACAATTTTTGTGTTTTATTTTTCATAGTTTGGCATGAACCTCGGTCACTGAACCTCGGTCACTGAACCTCGGTCATTGAACCTCGGTCATTGAACCTCGATCATTGAACCTCGGTCATTGAGCCTCGGTTACTGAACCTCGGTCACTGAACCTCGGTCACTGAACCTCGGTCACTGAACCTCGTTCACTGAACCTCGGTCACTGAACCTCGGTCACTGAACCTCGGTCATTGAACCGATTCATTGAGCCTCGGTTACTGAACTCGGTCACTGAACCTCGGTCACTGAACCTCGGTCATTGAGCCTCGGTTACTGAACCTCGGTCACTGAACCTCGGTCACTGAACCTCGGTCATTGAGCCTCGGTTACTGAACTCGGTCACTGAACTCGGTCACTGAACCTCGGTCATGAAGCCTCGGTCATTGAGCCTCGGTTACTGAACCTCGGTCACTGAACCTCGGTCATGAACCTCGGACTGACCTCGGTATTGAGCCTCGGTTACTGAACCTCGGTCACTGAACCTCGGTCATGAACCTCGGTCATTGAGCCTCGGTTATGAACCTCGGTCACTGAACCTCGGTCACTGAACTCGGCACTGACTCGGTCATGAGCCTCGGTTACTGAACCTCGGTCACTGAACCTCGGTCACTGAACCTCGGTCACTGAACCTCGGTCATTGAGCCTCGGTTACTGAACCTCGGTCACTGAACCTCGGTCACTGAACCTCGGTCATTGAGCCTCGGTTACTGAACCTCGGTCACTGAACCTCGGTCACTGAACCTCGGTCATTGAGCCTCGGTTACTGAACCTCGGTCACTGAACCTCGGTCACTGAACCTCGGTCACTGAACCTCGGTCATTGAGCCTCGGTTACTGAACCTCGGTCACTGAACCTCGGTCACTGAACCTCGGTCACTGAACCTCGGTCATTGAGCCTCGGTTACTGAACCTCGGTCACTGAACCTCGGTCACTGACCTCGGTCATTGAGCTCGGTTACTGAACCTCGGTCACTGAACCTCGGTCACTGACTCGGTCATTGAGCCTCGGTTACTGAACCTCGGTCACTGAACCTCGGTCACTGAACCTCGGTCATTGAGCCTCGGTTACTGAACCTCGGTCACTGAACCTCGGTCACTGAACCTCGGTCATTGAGCCTCGGTTACTGAACCTCGGTCACTGAACCTCGGTCACTGAACCTCGGTCACTGAACCTCGGTCACTGAACCTCGGTCATTGAGCCTCGGTTACTGAACCTCGGTCACTGAACCTCGGTCACTGAACCTCGGTCATGACCTCGGTCATGACCTCGGTTACTGAACCTTGGTCACTTAACCTCGGTCACGAACTCGGTCATGACCTCGGTATGAACCTCGGTCATGTAATCGGTCACTGAACCTCGGTCACTGAACCTCGGTCACTTGAACCTCGGTACTGAACCTCGGTCACTGACTCGGTCTGAACCTCGGTCATGTACCTCAGTCACTGAACCTCGGTCACTGAACCTCGGTCACTGAACCTCGGTCACTGAACCTCGGTCACTGAACCTCGGTCATTGAGCCTCGGTTACTGAACCTCGGTCACTGAACCTCGGTCACTGAACCTCGGTCACTGAACCTCGGTCACTGAACCTCGGTCACTGTACCTCGGTCACTGAACCTCGGTCACTGAACCTCGGTCACTGTACCTCGGTCACTGAACCTCGGTCACTGAACCTCGGTCACTGTACCTCAGTCACTGAACCTCGGTCACTGAACCTCGGTCACTGAACCTCGGTCACTGAACCTCGGTCACTGAACCTCGGTCACTGGACCTCGGTCACTGTACCTCAGTCACTGTACCTTAGTCACTGTACCTCAGTCACTGACCTAGTCACTGTACCTCAGTCACTGTTATACTAGTCACTGAACCTCGTCACTGTATCACAGTCACTGTACCTCAGTCACTGTACCCTAGTCACTGTACCTCAGTCACTGTATCACAGTCACTGTACCTCAGTCACTGTATCACAGTCATTGCACCTCAGTCACTGTACCTAGTCACTGTACTAGTCCTGTACCTAGTCACTGTACCTCAGTCACTGTACCTCAGTCACTGTACCTCAGCACTTATACAGTCACTGTACCTCAGTCACTGTACCCTGTCACTGTACCTCAGTCACTGTACCCTGTCACTGTACCTCAGTCACTGTACCTAGTCACTGTACCTTAGTCACTGTACCTAGTCACTGTACCAGTCACTGTACCCTAGTCACTGTACCTCAGTCACTGTACCAGTCACTGTCCTGTCACTGTACCTCAGTACTGTCACTAGTCACTGTACCTCAGTCACTGTACCTCTAGTCACTGTACCTCAGTCACTGTACCTAGTCACTGTACCTCGTCACTGTACCCTAGTCACTGTACCTCAGTCACTGTACCCTAGTCACTGATACCTCAGTCATGTACCCTAGTCACTGTACCTAGTCACTGTACCTCAGTCACTGTAACCTCAGTCACTGTACCTCAGTCACTGTACCTCAGTCACTGAACCTCAGTCACTGTACCTAGTCACTGTACCTCAGTCACTGTACCTAGTCACTGTACCTCAGTCACTGTACCTAGTCACTGTACCTCAGTCACTGTACCCTAGTCACTGTACCTCAGTCACTGTACCCTAGTCACTGTACCTCAGTCACTGTACCCTAGTCACTGTACCTCAGTCACTGTACCCTAGTCACTGTACCTTAGTCACTGTACCCTAGTCACTGTACCTTAGTCACTGTACCCTAGTCACTGTACCTCAGTCACTGTACCTCAGTCACTGTACCCTAGTCACTGTACCTCAGTCACTGTACCCTAGTCACTGTACCTCAGTCACTGTACCCTAGTCACTGTACCTTAGTCACTGTACCCTAGTCACTGTACCTTAGTCACTGTACCTCAGTCACTGTACCTCAGTCACTGTACCTCAGTCACTGTATCACAGTCACTGTACCTCAGTCACTGTACCTAGTCACTGTACCTCAGTCACTGTACCCTAGTCACTGTACCTTAGTCACTGTATCACAGTCACTGTACCTCAGTCACTGTACCCTAGTCACTGTACCTCAGTCACTGTACCCTAGTCACTGTACCCTAGTCACTGTACCCTAGTCACTGTACCTCAGTCACTGTACCCTAGTCACTGTACCCTAGTCACTGTACCCTAGTCACTGTACCCTAGTCACTGTACCTCAGTCACTGTACCCTAGTCACTGTACCCTAGTCACTGTACCCTAGTCACTGTACCCTAGTCACTGTACCTCAGTCACTGTACCCTAGTCACTGTACTTAGTCACTGTACCTTAGTCACTGTACCTAGTCACTGTACTTAGTCACTGTACCTAGTCACTGTACCTAGTCACTGTACCTCAGTCACTGTACCTAGTCACTGTACTAGTCACTGTACCTCTAGTCACTGTACCTTAGTCACTGTACCCTAGTCACTGTACCTTAGTCACTGTACCTTAGTCACTGTACCTTAGTCACTGTACCTTAGTCACTGTACCCTAGTCACTGTACCTCAGTCACTGTACCCTAGTCACTGTACCTCAGTCACTGTACCCTAGTCACTGTACCTCAGTCACTGTATCACAGTCACTGTACCCTAGTCACTGTACCTCAGTCACTGTACCCTAGTCACTGTACCTCAGTCACTGTACCCTAGTCACTGTACCTCAGTCACTGTACCCTAGTCACTGTACCCTAGTCACTGTACCCTAGTCACTGTACCTTAGTCACTGTACCCTAGTCACTGTACCCTAGTCACTGTACCTCAGTCACTGTACCTCAGTCACTGTACCTCAGTCACTGTACCCTAGTCACTGTACCTCAGTCACTGTATCACAGTCACTGTACCCTAGTCACTGTACCCTAGTCACTGTACCCTAGTCACTGTACCTCAGTCACTGTACCTCAGTCACTGTACCCTAGTCACTGTACCTTAGTCACATATCTAACACACCTTCAACAACATAAGTTTGGCTTAACGAGATCACTGCTTCAATTATTAACGAAATATTTTCTTTGGTTGTGGGTAACTATCATTGTCTTTCACGGTGTACTTCTTAAGACAACAACAGTGTTATATCACTGCCTAATTTCTTGCAGATTCCCTCGTAGATTCAATAAGGTTAAGCCTATCACATATTGCTGAGGTTGTGTTTAGCATTTCTTTGGTGATTGTCTAGACGTTCCATTATCTACGAGATATTCTTTCACCAATTTTTAAGATCCACAAATCCGCACAAAACAGATCATCCCCACTTAATTAATTGTATTATTTATTGACTTGAATCACATACAGTGGGTGAGTACTGTATATTTTTGCTTTGTTACCCAGCATCTGTAAAACAAGCCGAGTGTAAATTCAGAATTGTAATGATTCTGTGAATGATGTTTTGATCATGAAGGAATATATGTATTTTCTGTTGCTAAATAATACTAAGTAAATTAAAGCTGACCTGAGATACGTTGAATAAGATTGAGCTGACTAGGTTAAGGCATTGGCTTAAGCCGATGGGAGAATTGGACCTGCCTCGCATGGGTCAGTAGGCCTGCCGCAGTGTTCCTTCTTTCTCATGTACTTATGTTCTTATCCCGGTCTGGGAGCTGACAGGGTCACGACGTACCTTAAACAGGATCCTTCAGTGAGTATGCATACTCTCAGCTGGTAGAAACAGTGAATCGAACAATGGATGACAGTATAAACTCTGTCTTTATGATTCTTTGAACTGCCGATTTTTTTTTTCTTAATAAATAACTTTCCCATGTGACGGTACATATGCGCTCCTTTAATAATAATATATAAGTGTATTCTTTAAATCGATGACTTTATATGTATAGCTTTTATTAATGCAGTTTACCATATTTATGACGTAGTAATAAACTTTGATATCGATGCGAAAGACTTTGACAATATTAAGGCCTCGAAGACTGGGTGAGTAGGAGAGGCAAACCCTCGTGTGTTGTCCTATTGCAGTGATTAGGAATCCTATGGTATCCAGTGCTGTCTGGGAGCAACAAGATACGTTCTCTGTTTCAGGAAAAAAATGGATGTGCAGTGTAGATTGAAGGACGCCAGTGTTTAGACAGAAAAGGAAAAAGTGATATACCGCTCAGAGCCAATACCGCATCTCCTCCAATGTAGGCTCGTGCAGCCCACCTGGAGTCATACACGACCAATGTAGGCTCATGCATCCCATCTGAAGCCATACACCAATGTAGGCTCGTGCAATCCATCTGGAGCCATACACGACCAATGTAGGCTCGTGCAGCCCGCCTGGAGTCATACACGACCAATGTAGGCTCGTGCATCCCATCTGAAGCCATACACGACCAATGTAGGCTCGTGCATCCCATCTGGAGCCATACACGACCAATGTAGGCTCGTGCAGCCCGCCTGGAGTCATACACGACCAATGTAGGCTCGTGCAATCCATCTGGAGTCATACACGACCAATGTAGGCTCGTGCATCCCATCTGGAGCCATACACGACCATTGTAGGCTCGTGCAGCCCGCCTGGAGTCATACACGACCAATGTAGGCTCGTGCATCCCATCTGGAGCCATACACGACCAATGTAGGCTCGTGCAGCCCACCTGGAGTCATACACGACCAATGTAAGCTCGTGCAGCCCATCTGGAGCCATACATGACCAATGTAGGCTCGTGCAATCCATCTGGAGCCATACACGACCATTGTAGGCTCGTGCAGCCCATCTGGTGCCACACACGACCATTGTAGGCTCGTGCAGCCCATCTGGAGCCACACAATCAATGTAGGCTCGTGCAGTCCATCTGGAGCCACACAATCAATGTAGGCTCGTGCAGTCCATCTGGAGCCACAAACGACCAATGTAGGCTCATCTGGAGCCACAAACGACCAATGTAGGCCCATCTGGAGCCACACACGACCAATGAATCACTCGACTGTACGAAACACACTGAAAACACCCGATAACGAAATTAGTGCAAAAAAGGGAGTTTTAAAGTTTCAATTTTAACGTTTCGGTTCTAAGTGTTTGATAAAGTGTGCGTGAATATATATAAGTGATTTTATTTTGTTTATGAAAATAGTGCTAATAATTTTGCATTAGTTGATGTAAGTCACATTTGGAATCAGTGAGAGTGGAGGCAGAACCTCCTTTACTGGACAAAAATGAGATATCGTCGGTTTGATATTCGGGTCAGGTAGACATCATAGGAAAGCCTCACCATGAAGAGTAGCGACAGTAACTCTCTGTTCAGTGTTTGTAACTGATAATTACCAGCAGTAAAAGAACGCTTTTGTTAGCTTTAATGTTAGCCAAAGTCCTGCTACAAATTCGGCGGCATCAACTTTATTAAACATATCATTGTTATTTTTTTCTGTGGCCTGAGAATGTAACATATCAAGCTGTAAATAGTTTTATAATACTAATACTTTAGTGTAGTAAGTGTTTGTACATCATCGTGATTTTTGAAAACTTTTAAAAGCTTTTATTTGTCATCTTGATGTCGTGGTTGTGAAATCGTTTTGGTGTTCGTAAGCGCACCACATTTTTCGGAAACACACAAAGTTCATATGCAAAGAGTAAATCACACAAATGTACTGAGTAGATTGTAGTTTTATGGAAACCAAACACTGCAAGAAATCTGAATAAGTAAACAATGGTAATCACAGTGGAAAAATGTGTAGAAAAACTAACGAAGACGTCAGCTTCCTACTGATTGAGAACCAGTTTCTTCATAGTAGTCGGCAATACGACACTCAGAAATGAATGTTTTAACAAACAAGAGTGTATGGATGTGTGCCAGGACGCTGTTTCTGGTGTGGGTGTTGGTGACGGAGGTAAAAGGTCAGGTGGGTTCCCCGGGGAGGCTGCAGGCGGCGCTTCAAAGTTCTGACACGTTTCCTTCACCTGCTGGCACCTACACCACCAACCCTTCAAGTTCAAAGCTACGCGAGAAAACACTGAAACAGATAACCAAGAAAGTTCTCTTGTACACCACCGAAGCTTCTCCGATTTCCCACAAAAATTCCAAAGTAAACGCCAAAATTAATGTTCCTTACGTCATGAGTGCGCGACTGGAAGAGCAGCATCACGATACTCTCCATACTGATACTGCAGGTCGAAGCGAGGGAGAACATTATTCTCATCAGTTTTCTGGAAAACCTGTGGCGTCCAGTAACCCTCTGAGAAGTAAGAGCGTCGACCGGCACAAACTCCCACAAGAAAAAAAAATTACATACTCGGGTCTAGTGGATTTACTTAGGATACCAGTGGCAACCTTGCCACCTCTACATGGTATGGGCACTGTGGCTCAAGTGTCTACGAGAAAGAGGCAAATGGAGCCGTCGACCGCCCTCAGACTCACCTCACCCTTCAAGTTACTCCTACAGAATCAACCTTCAAGCCCCATCCCGCCTTCCATATCGCCCAGGTCCTCCAGTACCTCACCTCAGCCCTCTGCAGCTACAGATGCTCCTGTGATCCAGGTTTTGCTGCTGCAACACACACAAAAATCGACTAAGAGATGTAAACGAGGAATGGTAAATGAAGCAAATCTTCAACACCAGTATTTGAAATTCAAACAACCAAGAAGGAATTTTTATTTGAAAAGGCAAGCAAGAGGACAGACGTATGGCACTGGTAGAGATAATAACAATGGGGGAAACAGAATGGAGGCAAGAAAGAATCTTGTGCCACACCACGCACAACGCCACCCACAACACTTGTCCTCTATGGTCGGCAACACCCATGGTGTATGGGCTGCACTTGGCACAACACCATCAGCACAGATTGCAGCTCCCCATTTTACACCAATTACGGACAGAAGTGATCCCACAAGCACAAGCACGGACAGGTCAAGCACGAACAACTCTAACATCTCACAAGTAATACGAGCAGGTAATCTACCAGAAGGATTGATCAATGACAACTCACGGTTAACCACGCACAGAAATGGTCACTCCAGCAAAATCCGGGACAAAGGTGATAAACAAGAAAAAAACTCATACAATGTTAATCGCCCCAGTGCAATCCAGGCATCTACAGACTTAAATGACAATCTAAGCACAACTACAGACCCAGGGAACCTTGATGAGATCGAGAACGGAGAGGATATTCTTAGTCCAACACAGGATGTAGACAACCTTTTTCCTAGATTCGCTAACAGTCATGATTACCAAGACGCAACCACGGACAGAGAGGGCCTACTTGATAAAATCATGGATGGGAATGAGTTTCCTAATACAGCAACAAACAGAGAAGGTTTTTCTGGTATAGCTACGGACGAAGTGAACTTTTCTGGTATAGCCACAAGTAGAGAGGATGAAGAAGACTATCCAAGAATAGAAAAGGACGGAGAGGTCTTTCCTGGTATAGCTATGGACGCAGATAACTTTTCTGTTATGAGCCCAGATGAATATGACCTCTCTAGCACAGCCACGGATAAAGATAACTACACTGGTACAAGTATATACCAAGTGGAGTCTCCTCTACTAGTGGTCAAAGACAGGGAAGCCGAGAGTACAAGATTTCCCACTGGTTGGGGAGAGTCGGACGTCCTGGGAATAAAGCGAATTGATCATGAACATACAATCAAAGTTGAAGCCGGAGATAGGGCGTACGAAATTTGCAGAAAATTTAAAGCTCTCTTCGATTCTCTTGACACAAATTACACTAGTTCGAATTTCACTGGGGAAAATGGGGACTTGTTGAGTCCGGAGTATATGCAGCAGTGGATAACCCTACGACAGGAGTATGCGCAAGTAAGACTACGCGAAGTAGACACATATGACGGCTCAGATTTGCGGGAAACGATTGAACTAGTGGATAGTGATGCTGTTTCACGCAGCAGTGATGCTATTTCACTGGACAACAATGCCGTTTCACTGGAAATGGCGACGGCCAGCGCAAACGAGTTTCCACCGGCGTCTACAGACTGGCCAGCTTCAGGAGAGCTGCAGAGGCCAATAACAGCATCAGTTTCCTCTCCTGTCTCGTCAGACCTGCAACTCTGGCTGCAAGACGAGAGTGGCAACATAGTGGACGGGCAACTCTCACCCTCCTTTCAGTACTCAGGTGAGTCATCTCTTTGCAGTCCATTCCTTTTATTTAATTTTTTTTTCTTGTATTATTATTATTACTATTTTACTATTATTAATAAAAATAATAATAATACTACAATTACTACTAATAATAGCATTATTATTATTATTATTATTATTATTATTATTATTATTATTATTATTATTATTATTATTATTATTATTATTATTATTATTATTATTATTATTATTATTATTCACAAATAACCCGCATATACGAGAATGCAACTTATGACGACGTTTCGGTCCGAACTGAACCATTAACTATTGCAAGTGGGACCGAAACGTTGTCATTAGTTCCATTGTCCTATGTGTGGGTTATATGTGTATTGTTCCCGTCACGGTATTGTGCCTTTGTTATTCTTTATGGAAGTTATAGTTTGTTAAGAATGGATACACCCGCAGTGTGTTGCACCGCAATACTACGCCATGACAGCTACACTATGTCAACAAGTATCACTTTCTTAAGTGATAGCTATGGTTACCGCTCTAATTCTAAGATAGCTATGGTTACCGCTCTAATTCTAAGATAGCTATGGCTACCGCTCTAATTCTAAGATAGCTATGGCTACCGCTCTAATTCTAAGATAGCTATGGCTACCACTCTAATTCTAAGATAGCTATGGTTACCGCTCTAATTCTAAGATAGCTATGGCTACCACTCTAATTCTAAGATAGCTATGGCTACCACTCTAATTCTAAGATAGCTATGGCTACCACTCTAATTCTAAGATAGCTATGGTTACCGCTCTAATTCTAAGATAGCTATGGCTACCACTCTAATTCTAAGATAGCTATGGTTACCGCTCTAATTCTAAGATAGCTATGGCTACCACTCTAATTCTAAGATAGCTATGGCTACCACTCTAATTCTAAGATAGCTATGGCTACCACTCTAATTCTAAGATAGCTATGGCTACCACTCTAATTCTAAGATAGCTATGGCTACCACTCTAATTCTAAGATAGCTATGGCTACCACTCTAATTCTAAGATAGCTATGGCTACCACTCTAATTCTAAGATACCTTCCTATACTCACTCTTCTTAATAAAAATTTTTTAGTCGAACGCACCATTTATGGCGTCCTGGTATTAACACACGTTTTTGTACATTAAATTCGTGTGCCTCTCTGACATGTTATTTGTTTTTCTGGTAGATTATTTGTAGAAGGGATATTGAATGGTACTGGATGGTGTAGTTAAATGGCATTTTCTGGGTTCATTAGGTAAAGTGTACCAGAAACCCAGCAGGGTGCGCCCTGCTAGAAGGTGGCTTAGGTTAATGTGAAGGAAACATGGCTCACACGACCTACCTGGCCAAGGATGGCCATGGTTAATGTGAAGGAAACATGGCTCACACGACCTACCTGGCCAAGGATGGCCATGGTTAATGTGAAGGAAACATGGCTCACACGACCTACCTGGCCAAGGATGGCCATGGTTAATGTGAAGGAAACATGGCTCACACGACCTACCTGGCCAAGGATGGCCATGGTTAATGTGAAGGAAACATGGCTCACACGACCTACCTGGCCAAGGATGGCCATGGTTAATGTGAAGGAAACATGGCTCACACGGCCTACCTGGCCACGGACGGCCATGGTTAATGTGAAGGAAACATGGCTCACACGACCTACCTGGCCAAGGATGGCCATGGTTAATGTGAAGGAAACATGGCTCACACGGCCTACCTGGCCACGGACGGCCATGGTTAATGTGAAGGAAACATGGCTCACACGGCCTACCTGGCCACGGACGGCCATGGTTAATGTGAAGGAAACATGACTCACACGACCTACCTGGCCACGGGCGGCCATGGTTAATGTGAAGGAAACATGGCTCACACGACCTACCTGGCCAAGGATGGCCATGGTTAGTGAGAAGGAAACATGGCTCACTCGGCCTACCTGGCCACGGGCGGCCATGGTTAGTGAGAAGGAAACATGGCTCACACGGCCTACCTGGCCACGGACGGCCATGGTTAGTGAGAAGGAAACATGGCTCACACGGCCTACCTGGCAACGGACGGCCATGGTTAGTTAGAAGGAAACATGGCTCACACGGCCTACCTGGCCACGGACGGCCATGGTTAGTGAAAAGGAAACATGGCTCACACGGCCTACCTGGCCACGGACGGCCATGGTTAGTGAGAAGGAAACATGGCTCACACGACCTACCTGGCCACGGACGGCCATGGTTAGTGAGAAGGAAACATGGCTCACACGACCTACCTGGCCACGGACGGCCATGGTTAGTGAGAAGGAAACATGGCTCACACGGCCTACCTGGCCACGGACGGCCATGGTTAGTGAGAAGGAAACATGGCTCACACGACCTACCTGGCCACGGACGGCCATGGTTAATGTGAAGGAAACATGACTCACACGACATACCTGGCCACGGACGGCCATGGTTAGTGAGAAGGAAACATGGCTCACAAGGCCTACCTGGCCACGGACGGCCATGGTTAATGTGAAGGAAACATGGCTCACACGACTTACCTGGCCACGGACGGCCATGGTTAGTGAGAAGGAAACATGGCTCACAAGGCCTACCTGGCCACGGACGGCCATGGTTAATGTGAAGGAAACATGGCTCACACGACTTACCTGGCCACGGACGGCCATGGTTAGTGAGAAGGAAACATGGCTCACAAGGCCTACCTGGCCACGGGCGGCCATGGTTAGTGAGAAGGAAACATGGCTCACAAGGCCTACCTGGCCACGGGCGGCCATGGTTAGTGAGAAGGAAACATGGCTCACACGACCTACCTGGCCACGGACGGCCATGGTTAGTGAGAAGGAAACATGGCTCACACGACCTACCTGGCCACGGACAGCCATGGTTAGTGAGAAGGAAACATGGCTCACACGACCTACCTGGCCACGGGCGGCCATGGTTAGTGAGAAGGAAACATGGCTCACACGACCTACCTGGCCACGGACGGCCATGGTTAGTGAGAAGGAAACATGGCTCACACGACCTACCTGGCCACGGACGGCCATGGTTAGTGAGAAGGAAACATGGCTCACACGACCTACCTGGCCACGGGCGGCCATGGTTAGTGAGAAGGAAACATGGCTCACACGACCTACCTGGCCACGGACGGCCATGGTTAGTGAGAAGGAAACATGGCTCACACGACCTACCTGGCCACGGACGGCCATGGTTAGTGAGAAGGAAACATGGCTCACACGACCTACCTGGCCACGGGTGGCCTGGGTTAAGGAGAAAGAGGTATGTAAAAGAGTAATAAAAAAAGGAGCTGTTGACTGACATCTTCTACCATAAATTTAATGATTGGTTCTAGACTATTAATAGCATTCGGAATGTTTTTATGTTGAACTTCTTCTGTTTAACATAAAACACATCTACTAGCGCATCCATTAGACAGTATTTCGAATGTTGGATGAAGCTGATGGATTCCAGATGTAACATCTGTGATGTAAATGTTTAGGAAATCAATAAATTGAAGAATAAATCGCTTGTGCAACATCTGGAAAACTTGATTGTTACATGTATAAATTAGTTAGTATTGCGTTAACAGAGGAACCGTGAATAAGCCAGATTGTTGTACGTGACCCTCGAGGCAAAGTTTTACTCGGTCAAAAAATCTTGGCTCTGTTTGGGAAAAAGCAAATCATTGCAGACTTTGTAAGGGATAATCTTGATCTGTAAGTATATTTGCGAACAGGACCGTCACGTCAGCATTTGAGAGATATTATTCTTGATATTGTAACCCATAATGCAATATTGATCTGAATGCTGTAGGTGTGTTTCGCTGATCTTAACTAACAATCTGGCATAGTGCTTAACTAGAATTTTTTCCAATTTGTGATGGGCCTCAACGGGACATTGAATTTGTGTTCTAGGTAGGCCATAGAACCTTTCTGTTTAAGGGTTGTTAAAAAGGAAGTGTAAGAGCTTCGTGTCTCTCTCCATTCTCGTAAGTATGACGCAAAATTTCTGGGAAAGGAATCGGTCACGCTATTCCATTGGTATTCAGTTTACATAAGTGATGGTATCTTTAAGTAAATTTTGCATTTTATTGTTGTAATCAACGCGATTCACGATGACCACACCTGTTTGTTCAGCTGTGGTTACAAGGACGTTATCCATAGATGCTAGACTCTTGGGTGTAGCAGTGTAACAACTTGGGATGACCGGATGGCTACTTTCTGAGATGACAGCCGTGATCAGACCTTGTATAAACCTTTTATGGAACTTATCTCTGAAATTGTGATTTTTTTTATAATATGTCTTATTTCTGGCTAAGTTTACTGGCGCTTCGAAATCCTTAGTTGTAAACAGATATAGGACGATAAGTAGTTAACAGTGTCTGCTCTCCCTATTTCTTCCATTCGCTGTGTGCGCAAAGTGTGACATATTTCCTGGAGAGGCGCGTCTTCTATTGTACATTAGCAGTGGTCACTGCTAAGAATGACTTTTGAAGTACATCTATCTAGTTTTGACAAGTTTTTAGAGATTTTAGAATCTCCAGTCAGCGGTATGTGATTACCTACAACATTTTCTCACACAGCTTCACGTACCACCATACTACATTAACGACTGTAGGAAGAGAACCACGAGCATCTTTAACAGAAACAATATAAAAAACACAACAGAATCGCCCGCCAAATGCATCATTTCACCAGTTAATAATATGGCTTCTAATGTATCATTGATAATGGAGGACGGTCATGTGAAAGAAGCCATCAGCGCCTCGACCTCCACCAAGCACTTAGTGAAAAATAAAAACAAACATACAGATAATGTCAGCACCAAGGCTGGCATATATAACTAACGAAGGTTGTGACAAAAGAGCACGTAGAAGCATCAAGAACACTTGAATGCTGATTACGTGAATACCAGAACGACTGCAGAAGTAATGATCAAAGGTGCGGACAAATAGAACAGCACAGGGGCACATCATCTAACTACAAACATTAGTACCACATGAGCAGCTCCGCTGCT